GCAGAAGACTCACTTGAGCCCAGGAGTTGGAAGTTGCTGTGAGCTGTGATGCGACGGCACTCTACCCAGGGGAACAGCTTGAGGCTCTGTCTCAAAAAAAAAGAATGGCATTGTCTAGATGGTTTTTCACAAATGGATGGCTAGTGTGGACACCAGAGTGGGGAGACCAACTGGAGTGGGATCCAGATGAGGGGAGAGGGTAACCTTCTGAGGTGGACAGGAAGCCTACAGAAGAGACCCCAAAGGGCATTAGAAGGTGGGATTAGGAAGGTTTGGTAGTTGGCTGAGGAGCTGCAGAGCTAGAGGGAGGAGCTAAGGATGAGGCATTGATTTCTGGCTGCTGTTCCCTAAGGGCTTAGGGTGGGGAGCTGATGAGTTTGTTTTGGACATTGGAATTCCGGTCTGTCCCAAGTGGCAAACTTCTGTCATGCAGCTGATGTGAAATGCAGGCTATCCCTTGGCCACAGGAGTGGAGCAGAGAACCTAAACCCCAAGGGCCAGGGGTATACTGAGGAGAAATTGCCAAGAAGAGGTAAAACCTTGGAGAAAGGAGAACCAGAGGTGTGAAATGTCCTGGCAGCTAAGGAAAGACATATTTTTAGAGGGGAGGCAAGTGATCTGGAAGAGAGGCCATCTATGAAGATGCCTTTGACCTTTCCAAGAACAGATGTGCCATGGTATGGAGCAGATTGGGGAATAAATGAGACATGAAGTATAAGAGCTAGCATAGACAGGCCCTTTGTAAATGTGGCTGCAAAGCAGAAGCCAGAGAGCAGTGATTGGCAGAGGATGTGGGGCAGGGGAAGAGGCCTTCTGCTCTTTGGTTTTAAGATGGGTGAGTTGAGCAGGTTTAGGCTGAAATGTTGATAGGGGAGAGGGAAGGCACAGTACATAGGCTGCTCCTGTTTTGGGCTGCCTAGCCTCTGAGCACCTCTGCAGAACAGGGCAGGTTTTAAGCAGCTTGATTCCAGAGGATTTGGGGATTGAAACCTTTTCTGCTATAATCAGATTTCTCTAGAAGGTGCCAGGCAACATGCTAAAAAGCTTCCTCCTAGAAACTAGTGGAGAAGGGTTTTGTTTGGAAGTGTTTTATTTTGTTTTGTTTTGAGACAGAGTCTGGCTATATTGGCTAGGCCAGAGTGCCCATTTGGACCAAACATCCAAAGATCTTATATTTGTCCTTTGCACCAAATGAACCTATAGGTATTGTTTGTAGTCGAAAGGTTAAGTAACAACCAAGGAGAGTCTGGCCTAGGATCCAGCACATTGTAGGAACATGAATGTCAACTTGTATTTTTGGTGTCCTTGGAGGCCCCCAGCAAGCTTTTAAATGAGTGTCCTCTCCTGACAGGGAAGTCCCACCTGGCCATCGTGCAGAAGGTGAATAACGAAGGCGAGGGTGACCCTTTCTACGAGGTCCTGGGCCTGGTCACCCTGGAGGACGTCATCGAGGAGATCATCAAATCTGAGATCCTGGATGAGTCTGAAGACTACCGTGAGTTTCAGCTCCTGGCAGTCTTCTGTCTCAGCTGGTCCTTAAGCTTTCTGAGGTACATGTGTGTCAGAGGCCAGTGGCTCTTGCTGCTACTGAAAGCCAGCCAGGTCCCCAGCCAGGCCCCATTCGACTTAGCCATGTGAGAACCAGCATTGCTCCTCTCAGGAGGGCTCACACCTGCACTTCATGCAAGCCATGGTTGCCCTTCCCAGTGGAGGCCTTGGAATCCTGGCACTTGTTGGGGCTACAGTGGCAGCCTCCTGTTTATTTCCTCTACCACTGAGGAAGGGCCCTGCCCTTCATGGGCCTTTTCCATTTTTCTGTCTTCCTTGGTGCTTTTGTTTTCACAGGTTCTTTACCACCAAGAGAGTCTTCCCAAAAGAGGATGATCCTAGGGCCCTTGATGGCCTGTTAGAGGAGTGTCTGCCACTTAGGATGACACAGGGCAGACAGAGCATGTGTTTGATGGCTGGGGCTACCCACCCCTATGAGCTCTCCCACGTGTCACTTTGCCCACACAGCATCTTTAGTTCGGTTCCCGAGATGGCCATAGGTATGGGGTCT